ATTGAATGAATACCTTTGTAATGGTACCTGAAATTATTATTAGCATTTTAATCGAAGAGTATAAATTTAAGGCGTCTTTCTTCACAAATGAGTAAAATAAAAATATTATTTTCACAAAAAATTATTATTTTAATACTAGAGTTAATCTTAAAATGTTAAGTTATTTTAAGTATTAATCATAAAATATAGGGGATAAGTAATAACATGTACGCACGCATATGTGATAGCTGGGTTGTTAGTTTCTATTCATTCTCACTTTTTACATAATCCTTCAATTTTTATCATTTTATTTTTACAAAATTTTTGATCCTTGACCTTTTAAATAATTTATTAATCTAAATACATTTTAATTATAATTATTATTAAATTAAGAAAAAATAAGTTAATTGTTGAGAACTTTAAATTACATACGAATTATAAATAAATAGAAAAATGCAGTTAAGTCATGACTGTTTTATTATTTAGATTTTTATTTATAAATAATAAAAATGCGACTAACATCCTTTTTATTATAGTCTACGGAAATGCTGAAAATATTTTTCTGTGAGTGAAAATAATAAATACCCCTTTTTGTTTATTTATTTGTTCTGAGTGAAATACTCAGAAAAAAAAGAAATGGAATATAAGCCGTGAGATGAATGAGAATCAAACAAAGGAGATGAGTGGGGACCACTGCCAGAATGTATGTGACGTTTTTTAATCGCACCCGTCCAATTTTTGAGAGACACAAAAAAACGACGTCTTACAATCATATCATATTGATAACAGTTATAAATACAATTTTTTTAATATAAGCAACGATTCAACGTTATATGCTTTTATTCGTGTCAATAAAGAAGGAATAACAATGTTTCCACTAAAAAAAAAGAATAATAATGTCGAATATGACAAACCAAAAAAAAAACAAAAACAAAACAATGACAAGTTAATCAAAATTTATATTGTATAAAAATAAACCAAAAACAAAACAACGACAAGTCGATTGAATCACAACAGAAGAAAAAAAAGAGAGTAGATACACCTTTTTCTGTTTTCATAAACAAAAAGCCATGTAATATTTCGTGACTAGTTCAATTAAACACACAGTGTATAAATATACAGACCATATTTTTTCCCCTTTATTTATCATTATAAAAATGTCAATGTTAATTAAAATTTTAAAAGAGTTGGTTAAAAATTAATTATAAACAATTATTTAAAACTAGTGATGTTGAATATTTGATAAAATAATAAATTAATTTGACATGCATTCTTACTGCGAGGATGATAAGAAGGAAAGCACGTCGAGGGTGGAAGAACAAAAGGAAAGGATAGAGTTAAAGGGTGGCAGAGAAGATGATGATTATAATTGACGGGTGATAGCCACGAAAGTGCAAAAGCAAACCCTATCTATCAAATTCAAACCCTACGAGATTAGATAGGGAGTAGTAGTGACAGTTGGACGTATAATTAAAACTTTGACATAATAATTATTATAAATACCAATCTCACACTGTTTGCAACAAATTTTGGGCTTAATCTCTTTGTTCATTTGTGGAGGTCTCTCAATGTCAACCTCTCCTTCTTGTTCAAACACTTTAATTCTTTTAATTATTTGTTTTGATTTTTTTATAAAAAATAAATGACTAAATTATTTAAATTAAAAAAATAATTAATTTTATTATATTTTTTATAAATATAAATTTTATTCTAAAAATATTTATAATATTAAATAATATAATTAATAATTTATATATTTAATTATATTAATAAAAAATATATATAAACATTTATTTCTTATAATAAAAATTAAAAAATATTTTATTTTATTTTTTATAAAAAAATCTGAGAAAACATCTTTTTTTCTCGCACTACACATACTTATTAATGTTATGTAATTTATTTGAATTAACTCTAAACATGAGTTGAAAAATTAAACTAACAAGACTGGTTTAATAATTTTGATTCAACTAATTTTGTAGATCCAAGCTCGACCTAATTATGCCCCGATTAATAACTGAATCAAAACGACGGCAACATAATATTAAACATGTTATGTAAATTATATTAATTTAGATTCAAGTTTTTTTCACTAAATATTAATTATCGGAATAATTATAAATTTTTAAAAGGTATCATACGATATCAGCTTAAATTACTAGTATTGAAATACAGCCTAAACTTACCTACAAATATATTATATATAACTTTTAAAATAATAAATCCTTTTCAATTAAGGTTGACTTAAGTTAAGTTATCTTTATATATTATATACCTTTACCAATAAGATGTATGCAGGTTAATTCAATTTAATTTTGGAGGAAAGATTGAATTAATTAGAAATAATTGATTTTTTTCGGTTCAATTTTTTAAAAAGCAACAATAAACCTTAACCAAAATTAACCTGATAAATAACTAATTGGTTTGAGTCCCTGAGTTGGCAACCTGCACATATTTTTCAAATCTTAATTATAAAAAATATAAATAAATAATAATTTTATCATAAAAATACAGAAATGTATCATTAAAAGAAGTAATAATAAAATTTAAATTTAGAATACCAATTAAAATACATTTTTCAGAAAGAAGAAAATTTTTCAAATCTTAAAAAATCAAAACATATAATATGCATCAGTTCAATTTGAATAATATGATTTTAGAAAATATGAAGCTAAAAATTATAGCGATAAAACCTAAACTTTGTCTAATTAGTTTCGGTATAACCCTAATTATGTGAAATTTGAAATTATTGAATTGATTTAATTAAGTTGATCAAAATCGTTGGATTAATCTAATTTAATAAATATCCTTATTAATCATCACCTAAGGGGTAGAGAAAATTAGATTTAGGATGAATAAAGTTTTACTGTTGCCAGCAAAATATATATATATATATATATATATATATATATATATAAAAGATATTAAAAATTTGTAAAGCATATTGCTTTTAGAAGCACATTGCTTTCATTTATGTAAAAGTAAAATATAGTATATAAAAACTAAGTTTAGCATATCACATCAATCTTACATTAGTGATAAATTTTATTTTATTTTTGAGACTATGTCTTATCACAAATCACAGTTTCCGTCTCTTAGTTTCGTCGTGCCAAATAATTAAAATTTTAAAATAAAAAGAAATTATATTATTTAAATAAAGGAGTCCTACAAGTGCTCTTTGTGACCCAAAAAAAAAAAAGGCGTCGGTCAAATTAAAAGAATCCACAACTATAAGACACAATATTATATGGAATTAAGTATTAGATAATAAAAAACTATTAAATTGATAACTCAGTGTAATAAAGATAAGAATTTTGTATTGAGTGAGTGATTATATTAATAAAATGAGATTAAAATTAAGAACAAATGCGGTAAAAAAATTGGAATGATATATATTGTGAAAAATTAATAAAATATTACCTAAATAACTTAAATATATATAAAATAAATAAAAAAAATCCCTCTAATTAAGAGACTAGAGATACAACAATGGGTTAGCCTTATCTAATCCATTATCCATGTCGTTCGAAAAAATTATATTAACATATATATTATTTGTTTGTTTCTTTTATTTTAATTACTTGTTTCGAAGAGAAATTGAAAAGGCTAAGCTCTTATAAATAGATTATACTGCTTCATTATGGCATTTTCTTTGTACTTCAATCCAATGAAATACTATATGCTAATTTTAATTTGTATTTTATGTAAATATAAAATTTTTGATTATTAGTTGAATTTAAAATATTAATTTTTGAAAGAATATATTTTTTATATATTTATATATGACCCTCTGAAAATTGGTTAATTCCACATTTGGATGGAAGGTAAGTGTGAACCTTGAGGTGGAGGCAGACCAAAAAAATTATAGGTGAATCCATTGAAAAGAATTTAGAGTTTAACAATTAATGGCTATTGTTGTTTCTTTATTAAAAGTTTTGTCATCCTCATGCAATGCATTTCTCATTTTACATTATGTGGTGTTTGAAATTGTATCATTGGGTTTGAAATACAAAAATTATGTTTTGTTTCATTACACTAATCCACTCTCTTCTTTCTTGAATGTGATCTTAATTAGATTCAAACATGGTTTGGTTTTCTCGAATCAAAGATTTTGGATTTAAATAATTAGCGTAATGAAAAAGTGAGGTGGAGTGAAAATAAAACAGCTTATCATAGATTAATGGTTGACGGATGGTTTAACTTAGATTTGACATTAAAATATATGGAATAGAGTTTAAGAATATTCAATATAAAATAAATAAAAGCATACAAATATAAATAAGTATATAAATATAGGAGTATTAAATGTTTAACAAGTTTCCTAAAGAACATTAAATGTAAAATTGTGAATATCGACAAGATAGATATAAATCCCATCAAACAGTAAAAAGAGGAGGGCAACATGAAATTGAAGTTTGGAAGATATAGCACAATCTGCTTTTTTGACTTCAGCGTGATTTACACAGCCGTGTTTAGCGATAGTAATAATAATAAATCATGATCAAATTTAAACATTATCATAACAGTAAAACAAAGATTTTCATTTTTCAGATAATTAATTAAAACCCCACCAAAAAAAATACTTAAATATAATCCATCAAAATTGACCAGTCAAGACTCACAAATGTGGAGAGAGAGATTCATTTTACGGCTGCCTTTACACAACCAACCAACCAGAACGCGCCACGTAAGCCAAGCCGCGTCGCATGCGATTCCTCCCCCTTTCACGAGAAATTGACTAGCCGATAATTTGGAATCAAAATCAAACGGTGCAGAAACGTACCCAAAACGTAACGGGGTTCCTCTCTCTTCCGTTCAACACGTGGGTCCACCGGCACTCCCGGTTACCGGTCACATAACGGCGAACATTTTGTGGCCCCCACCACCACTTCCGCCACCGCATCCATGTCCGCCGTCAACCGCCAGCACCACCGTCCACCCTCCACCATTAAAGAAGTCAATTTTCTTATAATAAAAATAAAATACTCATAACAAGCATATTATTATAATAAAAAAAACTTAGGAAATAATTATTATTATTATTTAATTGCACATTAAGATATGATTTAAGGGAGATAAGGGGGTTGTAGAAAGGGTCCTCTCTTTCAGATTTTGCTCCAAAATCAGAACAACCAAACCTTCCATCTGATTTGCAGAGTTTTTTCTCAAGGGACCAACCAGAAACAACCAAGGACACTCTAGAGAGAGAAAGTGGTTCTTTCTGTGAGTAACATGCAATAGATATATAAATATTGTAGAGAGAGAAATAGAAAGAGTGAGAGAGAGTTGAAGATTGTTGTTCAATTTGAAAATTGCCCATCAAGTACCCTTTTTCTGTTTTTATTTTTTGGTTGGTTTTGGTTCCTATCCAACCCTGTAAGTCTCTAGCACTATTTCTCTCTCTCTCTCTCTCTATATGCTTTTTTATTTTTATTTTTTATTTTTTTAAGTACTCTTATTCAAGGTTTCTATGTGAATGAGTTGATTAGTGGCTTACTTTGCTGGGTTTTCTTCTGTGATATGAGTTGTGGAGATCTTAACTGAATTTTGGTTTCACTTGTTGACGAATAATGGGTTGTGTTCAAAATTTGAAATTTTTGTCCCTGCATTGGAATGTTGGATTCATTTCTGCATTGGTGTGTTCAATTGAAGTTCGTGTTGTTTTTGGCGTTTTGCTTCTTTGGGGGATCTCTACGTTTGCTGAGGCATTTTTTGGTTTTTTCCTCTAATCAAAGATTTCACCTTTGTTCATTCGCATACCCTCAGAAAACAAATATGATTTTTGGGATTTATGTTAGTGATTGGTTGAATGGATTGCGATCTGAAATCGTGTGTTTTGTTCTGCTGGCGTTTCTGGGTATTGATTGTATCGACCTTGCTGTGATGGATGTTTGAATTTGTGCAAAGAAGAAAAGAAAAAAATGGGAACTTGTGAATTGAATTTCATCAATTCTGTTTGAACAGGCTCTTGATTCTGCTGTGCTGGATTGAAGGTTGTGGCTGCTGCTTCTAGTTCTCTGTGGAAGAGACATGTTGGACGGTCGCTCCTGCGTTGTTCCGAGGTTGTTTTCCGGCTCTTGCCAGGCTGCTGAAAACGACTGGTCTTACATGAAGTACCTGTTGGATTTGGACATCAAAAATGGCAAGCGCCCTATGGAGATTGACGATGAGGATGATGAGCCCCAGCCAAGGAAGTGTACTAAGAAGTTGGATTCTTGCCATATAGTTGAAACCACTCGAATATCGCTTCAACAGCAATCCTTTGAGGCCAGGGATTCTGTTGTTTCCCCAATGGATCAGGAGACCATTGAGCCATTGAGTGTTTGTCAAAGGGTTGGAGAAGATGAGGATTTGACTGACCGGCTATCGGGCGAGCAAGAACTGAAGGATGATGGCAATTTGATGGATTCTGGTGACCATCAATCTGATAAACAGCAGCAGGGTCAGCCTGGGGATTCATCTGATTCTGATGTTCAGTTACCTGATGAACAGAAGTTGCGGCACGATGTGAATTTATTGAATTCAAGTGACCAGCAATCTGAGGAGCAGCAGCAGCATGCTGGGGATTCATCGGATTCTGGTTCTCTTTTGCCACGCATGAACCGTGACAGCTCAATCGCCTGTCTCAGCCGCTGCTCAAGGTCTGATTATGGTTCTCTTGCCTCACTAAATAGGAGCTTCCGCAACATAATCCGAAGTGGTGAGCTCTATACGTGGAGGAGACTAAATGGCATCATGGAACACTGGATTTATTTTTCCTGTGCCCTCCTTGAGTGGGAGGCCTATGATCCAATTCGCCAGCGGTGGATGCATTTGCCTAGGATGGCTTCTAATGAATGCTTCATGTGTTCAGATAAGGAATCTCTAGCTGTAGGTACTGAGCTTCTTGTGTTTGGGAGGGAGCTGAGATCCCATGTCATTTACAGATACAGTCTCTTGACAAATTCATGGACTTCTGGAATGAGAATGAATGCTCCAAGATGCTTGTTTGGCTCTGCTAGCCTTGGAGAGATTGCAATATTGGCTGGTGGGTGTGATTCAGAGGGACACATCCTTGACTCTGCTGAACTATACAACTCCGAGACTCAAACATGGGAAACACTCCCAAGTATGAAAAAACCCAGGAAAATGTGCTCTGGGGTGTTTATGGATGGAAAGTTTTATGTTATTGGGGGGATTGGGGGAAGTGATTCCAAGCTTCTCACTTGTGGAGAGGAATACAATTTACAGACTAGAACATGGACAGAGATTCCTAACATGTCCCCTGGACGTTGTACTAGGGGGTCTGAGATGCCTGCCACGGCCGAGGCACCACCGCTGGTTGCTGTTGTAGATAATGAACTGTATGCTGCTGATTATGCTGACATGGAGGTTAAGAAATATGACAAGGAGAGAAAATTGTGGCTTACCATTGGGAGACTGCCTGAACGAGCAGTGTCGATGAATGGCTGGGGTCTTGCATTCCGGGCATGTGGAAATAGGCTTATTGTCATTGGTGGACCTAGGACTCATGGTGAGGGTTTTATTGAACTCAATTCTTGGGTGCCTAGTGAAGGACCTCCACAGTGGGATCTACTTGCTAGAAAACGTTCTGGTAACTTTGTCTATAATTGTGCTGTGATGGGATGCTGAAGCATTGAATTGTGGAAGTTACATATTTTGATGCTTCAAGTCCAATGAGTTGCACAACATTGATTCATCCATTGACACAGGATTCTTGCTAATTGGTACTTTGCCCCCTTATTTCTTTCTATGATATTTTTCTTTCAAAGGTGGGGGATGATGGGGAAGAGATTCAAATATTACTCAAGATTAGATGAAAAGTTTTCTGGGGAGGAGCTCTTCAATATTTTTTTTTTTTATGTTTAAAATTTGAATCACTATTTTGTTTCATTGAAATTGGTAACTTCCCCCATTTCCATTGACATGAGATTTTTCAAACTTTGGTATCATGTAGCAAAGGAATAGATTAAATAATTGAAGTTCCAATACAAATTTAGGTTACCGGTGTTGTTTGTTAAAGTTCTTCTAAGATCACACAACTAGATACTTGATTTTCATGATCATAAATTCTCAGCTTGAAGGGATGAAATAATTTTGAGAGTTTTTTTTTTTTTCTCTCTGGATTATGTATTGATTCAATGTTCCATTTGAATTCATGGACTTTGTATCTTGAGCTCTCTCTAGTCTGGAAACTGGTATCTGACCATTCAATTTGACAATTTATTACTTGCTGCAGATATAATTTGTAAAAATAGGTTTTTCTATCTCCATTTTTATTTTATGATGGACTTATTCATTTATTATACAAAACTCATGGATGCCAAAACTAAAAATGAGGGGAACTTCCCATTTTTAGGTTGTGCAAGCTTCATGGAAAAATTAATTTGCTATTTCTGTCAAATCAATAAGGTTCTTGCTATCATAAGTAGAGAATTTTTTTTTAAAAATACCTTAGCTGCATTGGAATCACAAGGGAGAGTTGTATTAATTATATCTTTTAGCAAAAATCTTCTACTTTTGATTCCTTAACCAGTGCCCTTAGGATATTGGTTAGCATTTGCCAAATAATAAATAGTGATTAATTGTTTGTTATTTTAAGAATCAGTTTAACTTGTGAAGGATGGAGTTGTTTAATGTGTATATGCTGTTGAAACTATAGATCAACGATCTTTATTGTTAGGCATTGATGAAAAGGTGTACCGTATCATTTAGCCATTATTACTATGTTGATCTGAGGCCCTCCAGCAAATAAGCTTTTTGTTGTGTTTGTAATTGCATGAACCATATGTTGTCCTTTAATTTCAAGTGTTTTTATACAAACAGATGCAGTTAAAACTTGAAATTGTAGTATACTTACATCTGACTTGTCCCAATCCTATTATAGTTACTGGATCTTTCCAATTGTAAGTATGTAATAATGGTCCAGACTATAGTGGGAAACACATCTTAGACCTGGCACCGCAGGGTTGCTTTAAATATTTTGTTGGGTGGTTGAGTCACCATTATTAGACATCAAAGTCCTTAAACACCCTTAGTCCTTACATGATATCACGGATTGTATCAAGTCTTCTCCTCAACAGTCCACAGCTTTAGTTTAGAGTAGAAATCTAAGAATAATAGTTGAGTCAAATATGCTAAGCAATGATAACATGTGAAACAAGTAAATTCTGAGTATGATGCATATTAAATAACATGAAGATTTTGTATTTTCTTATGGGTATTGCCAATGAGTGCCTTGAAGGCACTTGTTAAAGATTCAATAAATAAGTATTTAATGAAAAATATGGTGTTTAGTATATTAGGAAAATAATGAGCTTTACCCTCTCTTTTTTTTTTTAATTCTTTAAGTGTCCGGCACGTGTTGGAATTTGTCTTTTCCTATTAATTAAGACTAATGCGTATAAAAGGTCCATATTGTCCAGCTCTCATTATGCAAAAATCTTAGTCGTGGGTTCGGGTTGTGTATTTCAATGAAAATGGAAGAATAAACCTAGAGTAATTAAACAATGATGTTAAATGCCTAGAGTACTATGAGGGGAAGCATGTATGAACAAATATCACCCATTTAAATAGAAAAAAAATATTATGATAATGTATGAATGTTAATGTTTGTGATGATTCAAATCTTATTGTTATATTTTGAGAATCTGCTATGGTACTACTCGTATGTTGCATGCTGTGTGTGTTGATTTGGCATTTTGTGATGATGAGGTTCTACTAAGAGTTTAAGTTACTTAGATATATGGGTTTATGGTTTGTTAAATATAGGTGAAAGTTTTGGTTGATATATCAAATGTTAATCGTTATGAGTTCCATTCAACTAGGTGTATTATGAAACAAATTCTACATTAAGGGCAATGGATCTATTCTCTCCTTCTTCTAGTGGCCTTTTGTTTTACTTTTAGTTTTGCTATTTTCGGGACTCAAACCCGATTGTTTCTTGTGTGACCATGTATGTGTTCTCTTCATCCTCTCCTTAAATCTCATCCTAAGCCTTTGAATCAGCTTTGATGTCGTATCATCATTATCATGTCAGTTACTGTAAGCAACCTTTTAAATTCACATACTAAATAGTAATAATGGTTGTGTTGTGCTGTATTTAATGGAGGCAAAACGGGTTATCCATCCCGATTTTGGTTAAGTCATTAAATAGAAGTCTAAATTTAGCTCATACTAGCATTTTTATGCTTCAGTAGTTTAAACTGATGAAGAAAAGACTCAATTATGTTTGGGCAAAAAATTAAAAACTCAAATCTTATGTTTTAGTTGGGAAAAAAAAAACTTTTACTAGACTATTTCGATTCGTGTTTGTATGGATTTTAAAGAAAGTAAAAAAGTCATTAATAGTTGAGTCATGATGATGATTTGAAGAGATGGTTTCAAGAGATTTTGATTTTTGACTCTAAAATTAGTCCTCATAAAATGGTTTTCTTATCAAACAAATCATTCAACAAGATGATCATCTATCTTTATATAAATTGTGTGTTAATTTTGAAGTTAGTTCTTTACCTCATTATGCTCCTGACTTTCCATACACTGAGTATTTAATTTATTTTTTTAATTCAATCTTAATTTCAACTGAAGTTTAAATTTTATAATTTACCTTTTAATTTTTAAAAAATGATAATAGTCATGAATTTATTAGTCCTTATATAAGTGCACAGTATTCAACGAGGCATGTAGAGACGCTTAGTTTTGACAAAATTTTGGTCCATGTGCAGTAAATGTATATTAAAAGATACCTTTTTCCTTCGACCAAAAACAACGCCTTTTTCGGGTTATTAAAGACCGAACGCCACAGCCCAAAGGCAACACAAAAAGAGGCTAAAGCCCATAGGAGCTACACTGCACAAACAACAAGGCATCATCTAAGCCCATATTTCTAGCTGCTAAGAAGACTGAACTAAACCAAAACACATGCTATTTACCAAAAAACCACAAACATTGAGGCCCAGTTTTGTAATTGAAAGCTTCTATCCCTTTATTGGTCATAGGATACATAATCCCAAACTATTTTTCTTTGGGTTTTGTATCTTATAAGTCCAATATTTACTCAATAGTTAGGGACACTGTTAGAATTGTATATGAAAACTTTTTCCACTTCACTGGTCTCCATGTGAGTAAATCATATGTGTATTAAATATCGCAAAACAGATTTGACCTACCAAGGCCTTACCTGTTTTTAACCCTATTTATTATATTAAGTGGGTACGATAACACATTGCCATTTGCCAAGTTGCAATGTGCATTAAGAACTTTGGGTTAATGACCCATCTAAGTTTGTCTCTTTCCCCAAATTACCTATCTTATTTGTGCCTCCCCTTCCTTTCCATCCAATAGAAAAATGACACCATTAAATACACTTATTTTTCAATTATGTATAATATTTTTACTATTATTTAATTTCACGCATGAAATTTTAATTATAACGTTGGCATCATGGAACTGGACTTCAAATTTCCAATTCCGTACAGTTATAATGCAACTAACACTTTTTTTTAATATTTCAATTTTTACTCTCTAAATCATAATTCCTATTCTTATAATAAAAATTTAATTTTTTTAGTCGATATAACTACTGCTAATTCTTTTATCTCTGTTGCTACTATCATTATTTTCACTATTCAATATTATTATCTTTATTATTACTATTACTTTAGTTGTCAATTATTATTAACATCTAAGATATCCACATTATCCTGAAGTCATGTTGAGTTTCCACTAATTTAAGTTAAATTAGGTAGACTCGTTTATAGAGATATAACCTTTAGGACACTTTTTCTTTTTATAAAGAATTACAAAATTTGAACGTGACTTCGTTTTAAGTAAGCCAAACTCTTTATCACTTGAACTAACAAGCGTTAGTATAAGCATTGACATTGATTCGTGTAAATGAAAACATCATTGTCAAATTTTCAATTAAACCTGTGTGTTTTTAATTATTTTATATATTTTTAAAAAAATATAACTTTACTATTGTTTTAACAATAACAATATTCTCTATCTTTTTAAATTTTATTTAAGCTTAAAATAACCCATATGACTGTATAATAAAAACTAAAGTGTGCTTGTATATTTATTTGGATAGTGCTTACCAAACAACTTGAATAATATTATGTGGAGAACCTTCTTTTTCATGCCACTGATGAATCACTTGAATGGGTAGAACATCTCATATGGGACATGAACCGACCTCAAAATCCCAACTCAACTTAAAGGATCAATGCGTGGTTTCCACTATCTCTCAAACCAAGTCTATGGAACTCACTCTTTACCCTCTTTTTGCTTTACATTAATATCTTCTCAGAATCTTGGGCTGCCCAATTGTTCTTCAACTCTTTGGGTTTTCACTTTTCTTCCCAATCAATATAGCCCTTACTGAATTGACCACAACAACATGACCATTACCCATTGTATGTTTAAAATTGGTATTAATACTTATTTATTTATTTAGCGTATTTGAATAAGAAGTTTATTTAATGAGTATTTATCGTATAAAAATCAATTATATAATTTTAGTTATAAAATTTGTTAAAACAAAGTAAAAGAATTTATTTCAATAAATTATATAAAAAAAACTTAATTAAAATCGATTTTTAGAGTTAGTAGAGTAAATCAGTTTTATTTGAGTTTTATTCTTTACCGAGTTGAAACTAACTCAGACTATTTATGCATACAATGTGAGTTCAAATCATGTTTATCGATTTTTGCATGTAAAGAAATCTGAACTCAACTCTTTATATTCTCTGATTTATCACTAAATTAGAAAAAAGAGAATAATCCAAAACTAAAATAAAAAAAGATCTTGAATCGAATCGAATAAAACTGAAAATTGAAAGATTAAAAAACCCAAATTGCTGCAGAGTGGTGTGACTAGAGAGAGTGGATGGCACATAAAGCAGCATAAAGTGCAGTGACAGCTAAATCTGTGGAGTGATGGTGGGATATTTGAGTGATGTTCCTTTTGGCGTCTTAGCAATGGCCAAGCTGTAAAATCCATCATAGCCACTTTCTTGTCCCCATATAAACCATCACAAAAACATTGCACATATATACTCTAAAGTTATAATGACCCAGATTGCCCAACAACTTTATCCCAATCTTTCTCATATTATCCATATCAAAACAATTCTTATCAACACCACCACACTTCTCCACCCTTCCA